GACTGCATATAGTGGGCATAGGGATGAATGGAGAATGAGAAGTAAAGTCTCTGTGGTGTAAATGGGTGTGGGAGAGAGAGGAGGGGGAGGAGGGAGCTGTGAGCACAGGGGTGGAGGAGATGGGGAGGGTTTGAGGATGTGAATGCTGGAGGGTTGAGTGGGGTCACAGAGTGTAGCGTGACTGGCAGAATGGGACGAGCTGTGGGAGGACAGGGGAGGCTGAGAGCTTTAAAAAGGGCTTGACGGAGGGTGTTGACAGTGAAGTGGTGGTTTTAGACATGAGCAGAAGGAAGAAGGGAAACGTGGGGAGAAGGCTAAACTGTTTAGAATAGGTTAAAGGGTAAGGAAAAAAAGACAGCGAGCGGTCAGGAGTACACATCCATGAACTTTACATTTTAGTCATATGACCAAAAATTTAATTGCAGTCAATTCTTTTAACTGAATATGAAATAGGTTTTGGAAAAATGTTGATGAACACGTTCTCAAGTCACTTTTTCTATATTAAACCAGACGATCATCTTTCTTCAACCTCCAACATTTTACTGATAGATTTGACATCAACATTTTTCGACTTACCAGATAAAATAATCAACATTTCCTCATTAGAGTGCAGGGCCCTTCATGTCATCCCCTTTCACTCCCCTGTTTCCTATCTGCCCTCAGCTGTTCTAATCTAATAAGGGCAAAAAAATAAATAAACAAAACTAAATTAGTAAAAAAAAAAAAAGTATATAAACATAATTTCTAGGACGACCAAATATCAGTTGGTGCCGCTTTAAATTCACTTATAGTGAAAAAAAAGAGGTAAAGTGCATGTCAAGGGGTTGAGCTGGATTTGCACCAGACACAACCTGTTCAATAATACAGGTTACTGATCAGACTGGCTGCAACATCAGACTGCAGGCTGTACAAAGGCAGACATCTCATCAGTGTGAGTGCAAACAATGAGATGAGACGGTGACCAGTGGAGAGGAAAAGCAACTGACAATCAACTGCGTTAGGAAAGGAAAAGAAAAAATCCCACATTTCTTGTCAGAAGGAAAAACACATCTACTTTTAAATATTATGAAATAATCCCATTTTGACACAAAGAAGCAAACGGGCTCCACTTTTCCATATTTTGATGTGATATACCCACAGTCTGGGGGCAATGACCCCTGTCAAACAGAGTTTAGTAGGAATATTGTCTTTTTCAGAATAAAGGCAAAAAAACTGAATTTCTTTGTGCATGTAAACGTAGTCATTGGGACACTGCTTAAATTGCAACAGAAGAGGGATATCCCCAAACCTTTCATAAAAGAAAAGAAGCTATCATGTGGAAGGTGGAAAGAGAGAAAAAAGAGAGATACTACCCAAATAGATTTGGCAAAGGAGAGAAAAACAGTGTAAAAGGTTGATATGGATGAGCCGGGACAGTCCTGTCTGACACACACTGTTGCAACTACACTTGCCCTTTTCCTTTTCCTTTGCTGTCTTCATCAGGCCCTTGAGGTCCTTCTGCTTTGTCTGAGCTGTCGGACCAGATGCCTGCTGTTATTTAACAGTGCGTCTGGCTGCGTGGTCGTACAGGGGGAGAGACAGGACAAAAGACAAGAAAGAGAGAGAAAAGCAACAGAATAAGGTAAGGAGGGTGTTTACCTCTGTTCGCTTGCTCTGTTGGAGAGAAAGCAGTGCTGGGATGTCACCTCAGCTGGAGACGCTTCTGAAACACCAACCGACTGATTGTGACACTGTAGGGCAATAGTCTCCTCCTGTGAACCTGTCTAATTCCTGCATCGCTGCAGATGTTCTGTCTCTTTGAAATCTAAATTTTTTATTTCCCACCCAATGCTTCTTTTATAAGCCATGCCTTTAACACAAAAAAATTATGTGAATTTAGTGTTTTTATTCTTATGCATTTTACTGTCTCACAACTCCTTTAATGTGATCATTTAAGCTTTTATTGATGTAATGAATGTAACAAGGAGTATGAGGGATTCTGCATCATGTCCAATTTAAATTATATGACTTAAATGCAGGAGAGAGACATAATAAAATCTATTCTCTTCTTTTTTTATTTTCAAAATAAAGATGCTTGATGGAATTTTTTTTCATAACCAGTGCTCAATATTACTTTATATCCACATTTCTTTTTGCTTGTGCTGCATTAAAGCTGCAGCTGACCAGGATGTTGTTTAAAATACAGTTGTTATAATTCATACATAATCACTGTTTTCTAAATCCTGACTCAAAGTTTACTGGCTTACTGTATTTAATATAAGACAAATTGGAGTCCAGATGAAGTCATTATCCTTTTTTACTTCCCTAATTACAATGGAACTAATTACAAATAAAGAGATGCTGATAAGAAGCAGATGAGGCGAGCAGAGGGTCTTTAGGTTTTAGGATACAGGGCAACAACTTACTTAAGTCCCAAACATTTGATAAATTCACTGAGTAACTATACACTTCAGAAATACTCAAATATTTCATTCTAGCCATCAGAAAATCAAACATTGTAAATGCTCTCTGTATTCCCATAAAAAAAAGTCTATTTTAGATCTTAGACGGTAATTGAATGAGATTTCAGATCAGAGAAATCAGAATAGCTTTCAGACAAACACACACCATAACTCCATCCCCTGAAACATAGGTAATTACTGACACAAATATTTAAGTAATGACAAAGGTTGACCTTTTAGTATTAAAGCTCAACACCATGGGGAAATGCCTACAAATGTTTGTATAGTTGCACTGAATATCCAGAAGGCTTGTTTAAATGTCCATCACTCTCTCCCCCTGTGCCACAAGGAATGGATTTACTGTTCCTGAAGTTGGCGGTGAAAAAGAATGATGCAACAGGAAAAGAATATGAAAGATTTGTTAAGGGAGAAAATGTGTAAGACTGGTGGCAGAAAAGTAAAAAGAAAAAGATCTTCTGGCTCTCCCCAGTCTGGGCCATTGGGTGGAGACTCTTCCTCAGCTTTTCTCTGCATCTTACTGAATGAAATGCGTTTCTGCAAATAGATTCACTGGCTCTGTCACCCTGAAGCACATCAAGCAGCCAAATTGCAACCCTGTTCCTCCTCTCTTCTCTCCTCTTCTCTTCTCTTCTCTTCTCTTCTCTTCTCTTCTCTTCTCTTCTCTTCTCTTCTCTTCTGGTGACTTCACCATATCACGTCAATTCTGGATCTGTTAAACATTTCATGCTCAGCTGATCTGTGTAGTGAATCTTTCTCTCTCACTTTCTATTAGCTACCTATATCCCTTTAATTTCACCAATCACATCCTCTCTGCATCCTTCTCTCCTGTATAAAAGTCTTTATACTTTTGTACCTTGCTTTATTCTTTCTTTTCTCTCTCTCTCTCTTGTTCTTTCAGGGGCTCCTAAAGGCCCATGAGAGGCATTTAATCACCACAGTTTTCCCCCTCCGAGCCTCAACAACAAATCTTGGTTGACTTCACTTCCCCAACGACAAAACTAATTGAGCTTAAAATTGAGGACTGAGCAGTTCCACTCATCTTCATCCCCTTGGCTCCTGACCTGCCAGCTGCCAACATGGGAGGCACATTGTACATTTACAATCAGCAGCAGTGTTGCAGCACACATTGCATCAGCCTCACTGGTCCCATCTCTCACATTAAACACACAATAACAAAACGACAAGCGGATCACCTTAAGGTGAACTAGACGGTCTACCAGGTTGTTTTCTGTAAAATGGAATAAGAAAACGATCATTGTCTCCTTCAATTTTGTCTCCCACTATCTTCCCTGGTGTGCATGTATGTCAATGCATGTCCACACAGATCAAAGCGTGTGTATGTGTCCATGTATGTGTATAAACTCCCTTTTAGAAGCTATTAGTAGTCAGGTAAGTGGGTCAAGAGGAGTGAATATGTGGCAGAGTATATACAAATACATTTTATGCTGCTGAATACTTAAACATGCATAGACATATACATGCAGGTGAGAGTGCTTGATACATGCACGCGCACCCAGTTCCATGAAATATTAAGAGACAAATCAACTGAAAGCTTTCTGTCCATCATTTTACAGTATTTGTTCCCTTATAAAAGATCACCGCTGTGCATGTATGACTGAGTTTTACAAAAGATGAAACAAGAATATAGTTTGGATGCATATCTGCATGTTGTTTTCAGTAATGGGGTAAATATGTCCTAAAGGTTTATGAAAACACAGATTAAAGATGTTCCAATGAAAGTAAATTACTTCTAATCTTTACTTCAGTGATATCTAAAAAACACTACTACTGCATTTCTTCCTTTATCGCTGATGGAGAACCTGCCTGCTTGACTGTACCATCCCATGTAGTGCTGCTGTGCATTAATAGCTTTCCATTATTTGAATTGGGCAGACTCTGCAGCCTTCAAGACTCTATTATAGAGCAGCTAATGCTTTAAGCTGCCTGCGCGTTGTTATGCGTACAAAATCAATTAAGTGACTAAATAGGTCATTTATAGCTCAGCAGTGAAAATATGCGATCTTATTGTGTGAGTGTGTGTGTGTGTGTGTGTGTGCTGCATCTTTCTCTAAAGTAGATGTAGGGATAATTCCTTGGGTTAGAGATATTTTATTTAAACTTTTTTCAGGGAAGTTCTGCCAAATTTACACAACTCCACATGATTCAAACTGTGTCCAGACACACAAATATAGTGGATAGCTCGATAAATGGATAGATTTCTTGTCTCAAGAATATCTTAAACTTGATCAGACAAGTCAAAATACAGTAGAAAATGTACGTCTTTAATGAAATAGGATTGCAATGCTGAATATGACTTTATATGTTAAAATAGACATCTCTGCATTGGGACCCCTGACTGTGCCAGAGGCATATTTGAAAATCGTTTAATTATTTCAAACGTATCACCTGTGAGTCACTGTGAGTCAGGTCGGTAGGTTTGGCCCTTGGGTGAGTGGGGGGTGGGAGGGGGTGTGGGACGCATGGACCGAGGGAGGGAGGGGGAAGGCGGGACGTGCAGAAGTTGTTCATGTCTGGAGAGCGCACCGATGAGTCCAACCTCTCCACGCTCCGGAGCGCAAAGAAAGATGTTTCTCTAATCTTGAGGCTTCACAGACGTCTGTTTAAGGTTACTGACAAGACTTCAATCATCAGCATAATCTTCTATCCGCAGAAAGCATCTTCAGGCGCCGATGTATCGATGAATTTCTACGGGAAACTAACAAACGTCCTCCTGCTGGTGCTCCTCGCAGCGCAAGGTAAGACAGCGCGCAGTGGATCGGTGCTGGGCTCGTAAAAAGTAGCATTACACTCGTTACTTCAGGATTACGTTTAGCAGGACTCGTGATAATGGTTTGTCACCTTGCTCGTTACATTACTGTTAAGTTATCTGTAGCCACCCCCCACCTCGAGTTACCTACCCTGTGCGCTTTCTGGGTGAGAACAAGCTGCGCCTTTGTCCAATCCAGAGACTAAACGCTTGACAGAAGCAGTAATTCCATCCGGGCAAAGCAGGTAAACTTTACTTTTGTTATTGGTGATGTTTGTACTATAAACAAATTTTGAGCGTCCTGATGACGAATGTAAACACGTTTTTTGGCTCCTACTGACAGATTGTGCTTAGATCTGTCATTGAAAGCTCAGGAGCGCACAACGTGCAACAAATCAAGAGCTGATCTGAAAAAGGAAACAGCCATCCATCCTTTTAATATAATATGCATCCTTTTTCGGCTTCACAATCGCATGCTTTTTGAACGAGGGAGACATCATTGCTTTTTCCACTTTGAGAATTTGTGCGCATTGGATAACCACGTGTCTATGAATTATAGGCTAACATCCAGAATCTCCAGAAACTTGTGGAGTCACTGTAATGTTGAAGGGAGGAGCCATAATCATGCATGAATACACTCAAACAGGATATTTTATCATGCACGCAGGGTTTAGTTTTCTTTGGAGTTGATGATCTGTGATCGTGACATGTCTTGTCAGAGCTGATACCTTATAGCCCCTGGAGCTACTGTGAAGCAGTCATCCATGCGCAAAACGAGCCAACACATGGATGGCATACGTTTCTCCACTCTAGCAGCAGCTCAATGACTGTCAAAGCTGATTTCATCCCTGGATCCTGTGGAGGGCAGTGCTCCCTCCACCCACAGAGGTCAGAGGTCACGGTTAGGTACAAGACAGATGTTCTGTGGAGCAAGCGGCACTTGAAGGCAAAGTAATAAGAGGAAGTTATGAGGAAAACTCTCATTTCCCTTGTGGTTTGATTTAATGCCTGTAGTTTGTGATATTAAATCACAACTGGAGCACTCTGTCAGGTTGTCTGTATTTTGTTTTTCTCTATTTGTGATCTATTTGTTTCTTTTCTCTTGTTTCCAAAATCACCTCTACACATATTTTCTGTTTTCTTCAGTCTTGAGTTCATATAAGGCTGCCAGTCTCCTGTGTGCTTTAAAACAGCAGATTTTGGAGTGGGGTCCTTGAGTGACTCCCATGGGACCCATAGCAGAACAAAGAATAGACAAATGCTTGGTGGTAAAAGCAAAACACTGATGCTGACTTCACATTTATATAGTTATTTTAATCCTGAATTTCTCGTCCTCATTCACATCCAGGTTTCAGAGTGTCTTTACCACCAAGGATAAAGGGGATGTATCTTTGTGGAAAATAAAATAACGTGCTTTGAAGTGGTAATATATCTTTTGGTAGCGTCTTTGTTCTAAGTGCTGTTTTTGCTCTTTAACACCTGTCAGTCAAACAGGGAAGTACTTTAACATCTTTTTCTGTTGCTGAAGTTTGAGTTCTGCCCTACAAAGGCAGAGATCCTTACTACAGAAGCAGTAGACAGAAGACATTTTTAAGTTGGCTTGCAAACTATTTAACATATAGAAAGGTTGTAATGCCTTCATTTTATACTTCTAGGTTGATTATTTGTACCCCTCCACAAAAACTATCGACATAATAAAATGCAGATATTCTGCCTATGTTTAATCTTTGCTAAATGAAAGGGAGGAAGCATTTAGTAACTATTTTAGCTTTCTTGACCCTTTTAACTGGTAAGAAAATAAACTTTATTTTTTTTACAATCCATCTAGTTAACAGGAATTGATTGTGTCTCTGTTTTGCTTGTCTGCCTGCCCATATTAATATTCATCTAAAAAAATCTATTTACAGTTTAACACATTTAATTATGTAATTTAAAGGTAGATGGCCGATACCCTGCTAAACTAGCAACCATTAGCAGTTTAGCTGGGCTAACGTCAATGACCAAGGGGTCCATTCATTAAATTCATATTTTTCAATTACAGATAACAGGAAGAGAATATCAGGGCAAGTAAGTTTAGCTTTCTCACTAGCTAGCTTTCACTTGATACAGCGTAGCCCTTGTTTTAGCCGTCCTCTGGACATTTTAAAACAATGTTTGCACACAAGTTATTAATTTCGATGGCATTTTATTTTCATATATTCAATTCTGGACTGAGTTTTGACAATATGCTGTTGCTACATTGGTGGGTATTGCTCATATTAGTAGTCTTCTTCAGTTCAAACCAGACATTTTTCCTGTGAATGATACTGGTCTTTGAACAGACTGTAGGAGGAGTAATTATTCAGACTCTAGATTGAATCACTGGCATCTTATATAAACATTTTGTGATTTTATTTTTACTTTAATGCCCCGGGTGCAGCATTTATCCCAGATGTGGTACCCGGAGTCTCCCCCCCGTGGGAGCAACTCTTAAGTGCCTTTGTACTGTCACGCTCCAGTCGTCATGTAAAATACACTGGCTTCACACATCCTGTAACTTGATGCAGACTCAGAGTCAAGGGGAAGGCAAGTGTCTCCGCATGACACGTGGGATGGACTCTCTCACTCTCTCTGTCAGTTTCTTCAAATAGAGAGATTTGCTACAGCTGACTGCCTTGTCGCTTTGCCCTTGAACTGCACAAATTTCAAAAGGAACAGGAAAATGGTGCTGTGGAGGGATGACAGTGTCTATCCTTTCCCAGTACAGCAGATTTTGTTCAAGTGTGAGGAAGTCTACTCTGCCTTTGCTAGTTAAAGGGTGGTTAACCCCAGAAAAATGAAAGGATTTTGCCCTCACCTTCCTCTTTCCCTCAATCCCTTATTGGCTGTGTGGGCTTTTGTATGATTCAGTTCAGGGGCTGTGTATGCAGATAAGTGGCTGGAAAACGCACATGGACACACACACACACACACACACACACACACACACACACACACACACACACACACACACACACACACACTCCCAGTGGGGGTCTGATTAGTGGGCTACAAAAAGGTATTGTCTCCTGCCATCCAGGATCGGGTGATTTTCCCCCATAACAGAGGAAATGCTGATCCTGCAGTCCTTGGGATTGGGGTATTTTAGTCGAAAATAGAATCTGGTTGGAGTAGCTTGGAGGTATAGAGTCTGTACAGCATGGAGCTGTTAGCTGGAGTTATGACATTCAAAATAAAGTCACAGACTGTGTCATAAATTGTAGTGCACATTGGCATATTTCAGGATAGGATAGATAGAGTGATTAAAATGGGTGAAATTGCATGATGCATCTCCCCGCAGCATCTTGCCTGCATCATTTCCAGCAGAAATGTCCAGCCATGCCTGCATTATACTGATCTGATCCGCATTATGTTTCAGGCTTGACCCTTTATCTAACTTTACTGTGCATTTTAATAGGCTGCAGCTGCGTGTTGACAGTGTAAAGAGGATCTGCCTTTTCAAACACGTTTTGCTCAAGAGAGCAGCAAGTGCAAGCTGCTAATTATTCAAAAAATACTCAAATGAAGGAAACAACTGTAGGTCTTAAATCAGTGGAGGTTGTTGTGAGTTCTTTCTTCCACCAGCATTCGAAATGGTTTATATGAAGCCCCTGTAGCCTTTATCTAAGTCTTCTTGTATGGAGTTGTCTGCTTGCATCGCAGCATCATCAAGCATATTTGCACGTCTGCCAGACTTAAATGCTTTTCTGAGCTTGGGACTACAGAACAGCTCTCTGGTTTCTCTCCCAGAAGCAATATAGTTGCATTAAAGTCTGACAGGCTATCCTTGTGTGTGTGTGTGTGTGTGTGTTACTGTGCGTGCGGCTTATGGACTGTGTGGTGGCTTGAGGATCCTCTTAACGCGATTGTCGTGTGATTATTGCAACCGAACCCCCCCGCCCCATCCCTCGCACACATACAGTTTAACCACCACAGGCAGAGGCCCCCTATGGATTGGCTTAAACCTTCATACCCCCCTCCAACCAACACCACACACACTTTCACTCTCTCACACACACAGGCATCCACCTCCAGACAGCCCTGCTGCCTAATTCCTCTGGGGCATCCTGGTTCTTCAGTGCTGGCGATGAACTGAGTCACGCTTTAGGATGGAGGGAGAGAGGGTGAGAAGTAGAAAGCTAGAGAGCAAGACAACAGATGCCTCAAATGGAGGACAGGAATATTTAAGCCTTTTAACTCTACTTTACTTCCCCCATGCCTCCTACTTACACATCTACATTACTCTTTTATATAATGTGTTTCCCCATGTGTCCTAAACACTTTGTGTCTGTCAAGTTGCACAACATACACTGCAGACTATTACAGGTTGCAGCCTTGCATGCCATGGCATTATATATTGCTGTACTTAGTTGCCCCAAGTTGTTATCACGTAAATTAGTCCTTTGCTAAGTGTGTTTGGTCTCTTTGTGTCCAGGCTTTAACAGACTGGAATTAAGCTTCCTTCTCATAGGTTCATACTACAAACTCCAGGATACATTTCATTGGTAGTTTCCCCATCTTGAAGTGTTCCAGCTGTTGTTGTCTTTCCATCCAACGTCTGTTTTTGCACAAAATTGCCATTTTCAAGGGTGATCATGGTCTTAGTAATTTGGTTGTAAGTCACCTTTTCAAATTCATCTTGCAATTTGAACTTGCTCTCTGTAGTGTTGAAAGTACTCTTAGACTTCATTGAAATCAGCCCAATGGTTTTGCCATGTTGCCCATTTGCTGAGTGAAACCCTCACCGAATGCCTTCATGGCTACATCGGAGGTCTTGCTGGCAGTCAGCTTCCAGGTTCCAACAAACTGCTCAACCAGGATTGCAAAGAATGATTGATGAATGAAGTTAGCTACACAAAACATGTCTGAGATGTTCCAGGGTCTCCTGTTTCAATGGCTAGCTTTCTGCTCAGAATACGTCAGTAGTAGAAGATTGATAGATAGATAGATAGATATACTTTTATTATTATT